TTATTCCTTAATCCGCAGCTGCCATATAAGATCTTGACATTCATAGTAATGATATTATTTTGTTGTCTTTGTAAGAAGTGCTTGGTCGAAATTCAAGCCAGTCCTTGAAATAATGAATATTTCTGTGATGCGTTTGATAACTGTTGACTTCATGTCAACATCACAGACTCTATGTTACACTCTGGTCACGGGAAAAAAACGGTTGAAAATTGCAATTTTTGCTCTCCTTTACTTAAAAACGCAGCTTTGGTACAAATTAAAATCCGAGTTATGCAATACTAAACACATCCATAGGGTGAGATCACATCCATTTCGCCTAAAAAAAGCTCTTTCTTTCATAAAAAATAAAAATGCCAACCTTTTGCATTAAACTTCTTTTATTTGACTCATCTCTAATGACTTAAAGTGCTGAGCTGAATTGACAAAATCTTATTTTGCTAACTTTTTATCAATCAAAAGATAACAATAAGGCCAAAAACTAAAAAAACAAATGAACAAAACAAAACACGAAAAGAAAAGAAAAAAAGGGTGGTACGAAATGCAAACGAAGAGCCAAGTAAGGTTGGTCATCTCATTTCTTGCGGAGGCTCTGCAATCGGTCGTTGGGGAATTTCATGGCGTCTGGAGTTGCATAGCGCGTGTCTGGCTCCAGTTGCTGTTGCAAGCCCTGATAGTTGGGTTTGGTGAAGATGGCAAACTTCTGGTTCTTTGATAACACGATGGCAGAGGAGACTCCTTCACCTTTCCCGCTCTGGAAATAGGGGTTCACATTTGCGCAACTTTCTTCAAACCACTGCACGAAATTGTGGAAAGAATAGAACCCAGATAAAGGAGAAACAACATTCATAAAAAATAATAATGTACCAGCATCTAATCTCTAAGACACTAAATAAAAGAATAAGCTCGTTTGCAGGAATGCCTTAAGAAAAGTTTTGAATCTTATCTGATTTAACTCCTCATTTGACATGAACAGGACGAAACAGAGCAATGACGTTAACTGGAAAAAAGTGCTCCACATTGTCACGAAACATGAACCGTTTTGTATCGAAGGGAAAGAGAGGATTATGGGGACAAGATAATCAGTTTTGACACCAGATGTCTGATCTCCGTTACCCTTTCAACAATCTGATCGCTTTTCAATATCTCTCGCGCCCGTCACTTAAATCAAGTGTCTGCATGATGTATATATGATATGTTTGTGATTCCTTATCAGCATGAATCTATGTGAAAACAAGCTCTATTATTTATCTCTGTCTAAGCGACTATGAAGATTATTCATCGGGAATAATCTACTTTTTTAAATAATGACTCCAAGCCCGAGTTCACTGACGGCCAATTTCAAACCGAAATAACTGAAGGAAAAAAAATCATGTTCTATGATCCAACACTATCCTTTAATCCATTTAGAACTGATTGCTACTTACTGCTGATTTCTTCTTGTTGTCTAAAAAGAATCGTAAGACAGAGCAGAGCGTTTTTTACAGAGAGCGTGAGCTATTGATTAATGAAAAGCTTATGTATTTCAAGCACCTTGTTGGTTCCACCGAAGAAGCTATGCTCGAACAGAAGGATTCCTTCCACTTGGTCCGGAACGAGGAACATGGAGCCATTCACACCTGAGATGTTTATATCTGCTCCAGGCCCGACAACCTTGTAGTTAGATGGGCCAGCACCAGCTTCTTTGTCATTGTTGTTTGCGTGGGTGTAGAAGATCCAGGTTCCCGAACGAACATCGGCTTTTACGAAGGAAACACCATCCTTTTTCAGGTCCTTCTCTGAATTTGAAAACTCCATGCTCAAACCGCTTCCTTCGTACAACTTGATGGACATGATGAATCAAACCTGGAATAGATTGACATGGAAATAACAAAACAGATGTAAATGAATTTACTATGATTGATTACTTCGCATTGAATCCCGTTTTTGCACAGACGAAGCTTTAAGGTTAAAATTCTATCAATAATAGTAGTAAAAATCTCGAGAAATGAGCGGTCGAAGAAGGCAAGAATTTTCAACTTGCCAAAACGGCTCTTCCGAATAGGGCCGATGTAATTTTGGGAGGAGTTGACCTATCAATAGGTAGTATTTAAAACAAGATTGAGACATTTTTTGTGTGCTACGCCTTCCGGGAGATTTTTCCAAACCTTTGTTTTCCAAGCCTTTTTTCTTCTTGACGTCTTGCGGGACTCCAAAAGACAACTTTGGGACTATCTATGACATTCTTTTATAGCATTTCATAGATCAGAACTGCGCATGTCATTGACGAGCTGTTTACGAGTTGAAACAAGGAAGTAAGAAGCTTAATTCGGCTCCTAACACATAATCCGACAAAAGAACTAAAAAAAATATTGACACACTTCACCATACCTACTCTATATCATAGTCTTTGGCTGACAATTGGCGCTTCACAAGATATTAGTCTTGAAGGACTAATTCTCAATAAGATGTTGCTCGATAGTTTAACAGCAAAATTGAAACTAATAAAAACGCTCGCGAGTTTTATCTCTTTGCATGCCTTCAGGTAGGAGATGACAGCTTGTCTAATTTGTAGTTTCACGGTAACGTTGTAGCTCGTACTCTCGTGTTTTTTTTTCACATTTCTCAACGTATAAGTGCCCACACCCTAAAGATATTTGACCAGAGAAATTGGTTGGTTGTTTAAGGTGTATTTTTAGTATGCGATGGATGCTTTAGTCCAAATGTAAACACGAAGTGAAACGATCCGATAAGTTTGCCACTCCCACTAAGAATCAAAGGACAAAAAAGAACAACACATCTGAACATATGATGTTGCTTGATGTTTTGAAGACAAAAATTCGATTTAAAAAAGATAAAAACCACACACGCCTCTCAAATCATGGCTTGATTGTCTCCTGGTTTCACCATAGCATTCCAGCACGTTCTCCCTCAATAGCCATTTCGCAATGAGGTCAAT